GAGGAGAGAATGGCGTTTGAGAGGTTAATTGAATTTTAGGGTTGGTTTGTTTATTTTAATTGGGATGAAAATAATATAATTAATATTAAATTAAATATGAAAAACCTGATTTATGAAAAGTTAAACTTAATATGTGGTTTATGAAAATGGAAATCTAAAGGTAGAGCTGGCTGTAATTTCTTCTTAATTAATTGGTGGGGCCCACACTAATGTGAGTGTGTTGTAAGTGTTGTCAACCACTAATGATTGTACACCTAGAATTGTTCATTTTAATTATCAATGCACAATCTCATCATAACGTAATTTTAATGAGTTCCAAATAGGGGTAAGTATTTCATTATTTTTTTTAAAAAATTAATTTTAATTTAATAAAATAAGAAATCTTGTAGTACATGCAGAATCGGATCATGTCATGTCCAATGGCTTATTTAGGCAAGATCAAAAAGATTTGATTAACAAATTAAGCATATGTTTGGTCATTAAAAAGAGCTTTTTTTTGAAAAAAATAAAATAAAATTTAGGATGGTGATATTTTGAAGAATGTGCGGTTGAAAAATAAAAAATAAAAAATAAATTAAATTTACGTGTAAAATAGTTTATTGTGTAAATGTATGGTTAAAAAATAATTTGAAAAAAAAATTAAATGGATGACAAACAGAGGCTAACTACGGAACTACATTAAGATTTGATCATGCAGCCCCACCCTGACAACTATTATGTGATTTCTTACTAAAATATAAATCAAGAAAACCAAGGAAAATCCAACATAGTTACTTTAGAAAACCAAAACCCAGAAAAAATTATTTTTAACATTAACATCAATGCATAGCGCTGGAACAATAATGCGCACAGTTGAGACTTGAGAATAGCAAAACGACACTCACTTTTACTAAAGCCATGGTTTATTGTCCACATGATTTCGAAATTATTCCATCTTGCAACACTTGGTAAGTGCATTTCGTTTATTGAATTTGCGCTTGATATTTGCTTGGAATTTGCAAGAATAATCAAATCATTATTTTTACAATTGGTCACTAGAGTTTGTTAAAAAAAATTCAAGTTGGTCCGTAAAGTATGTTTCTAACTCTATACTCACTAAAATTAATTAAGGTCCGTTTGATTGCAAATGTGGAAAATATGTGGAAATAAAATGTTTTGCAGAGAATTGATTTGCCTAAAAATTGTTTTATTGGGAATTGTAATTAATTGTATTTGATTGATATAATTTTCCGTGAAAAATGTTGAAAGTTTAGTGTCCGTTTGACTACTTTTTTTATGAAAATTGTCCATTAAAGTGATTTTTTTTCTACCATTGGGTTTAGAATTTGTTCCAATTACAATAAAAAAAAAAAAAAAAAAAAAAAGTAAAAAAAAAAACACAAAAAAAAAAAAACACAAGTTTAAAGTTACCAAAATCAGATTTTTTTTAAATTTTTTTAAATTTTTATTTATGAAATAATAAATTATTAAATTAATTTATTATTAAATATTTAATTATAATATAATATAATTAACCCATCCCACCTTCACCACCCCTACCGCTCCGGCGACCGTTTTGATCACCACTCTACTCCGGTGAACTTTCTGACGACCGTTCCGACGACTATTCCGGCGACCGTTCCGACAACTGCTCCGCTATATTTTTTTGTACAAAGAAGGCACTTGGGGGCCTGGGGCATCTCCAACCCATATTTCGTTGCACCAAATTTTTGGTGCAATCCATCTCCAACCCATTGCACCTTCTTTATGCAAAATGGTGTAAATGACCAATGTTTGCTGATCATTATTTTGAAAAAATGAAGTTTTGAATCATTATTTTTTTAAGAATACGTTGTTAAAAAGTAAGAAAAAAATTTAAAGTTTATTTGCAAAATATGTTAGTGTAAATGTCTTGTTAAAAATGAGTATAATAATTAAAGAGTTTTATTTTAAAAGGAGACAAACAATTGCTTCATAAATTGTATCATATTTAATAAATTTATTAATGAATTTAATTATTTATTTAGTAATTTATGTAATAATAAAATAAACAAATAAATAGTTTTTTAGATAAATAAATCGTTAAGAATTACAAAATGAAGAAAATGATGAAATATGGTTCATTTGATGCAATTTTTAATGTATTGGATTGGAGATAATTTACAATTTAGGGTCCGTTTGATTGCAAATGTGAAAAATGTGTGGAAAAAAAATGTTTTATAGGGAATTGATTTTCCTAGAAATTGTTTTACTGAGAATTGAAATAAATAGTGTTTGATTGGTATAATTTTTCGTAAAAAATGTTGAAAGTTTGGTATCTGTTTGGTTTCGTTTTTAATGAAAATTATCCATTAAAATGATAATTTTTTCTACCACTGGGTCTATAATTTGTTCCAATTGTCGAAAAAAAAAAAAGGCAAAGCTGGAAAATCAAAATCCACAAAAACTTAAGGAAAATAATTTTATTAATTTGAAGGAAAATTGGTGCGTGGAGTGGCGGCTGGCAAAATGATTTCCAGGGCCAATTTTGGCCATCAAACAGCTACTTTGTGGGAAATGTGAAAATATTTTCCATTTTCCTTGGAAAATGGTACTTCTCATATAGAGCCTTTGTGTTCTATCATTGGGTAAAGTATGGCAAACACAATTTCGACTTAGGTGAAAGTTCAATGACCTCTAGTATAAAAATTCCCGACTTTGCACATTGGCATTCCATTAGTTTGATGGACATACCAGTGAATTTCAATAATGACGTTAAGGGAATCCCAACGATGTGATCCGATTGCTTTTCAATTACAATTTAGAGGCTTGATTGCTTTAAATTGAAATTTAGTGACTCAATTGCAATTAAGTGAAAGTTTAGAAACCTCCTGTTAACCCATACATTATCCCTTCCGAACTACTAGCTAGATAACGGTCTTCTCGTGTGAACACCACAAATTAGTAGGTGTTTTTTTTTTGTAATATTATATTCTCTATAATACCACTAAATAAAATGCAATAAAGTGAACCTACGCGCGAATTACTCTCTCCGCTACAAGATAGTTCTAGTTCACCATAGAATCTCTTAGAGTAGTCGGTTTGGCCCTGAACCTACGCGCGAATTATGGCCAATATCGGGTATATAAGCAGTGAAATAACTCCATTCTTGTAACATATCTTTTTTTATTTGGTGGAGATTAAAATTAGATTTTTAATAAAATTTGATAAAAATTAATAAAATATATTGTTAAAAAGTTGTAAATATCATAAAGTATATGATAATTAATTATTAACTTTAAGTTCAATTAAAATTCAAAATTTAACATTTACATCTATCTTTTTATTATACATACATACAAGCACCAACACAATTAATTCGAGCGCGTGCAGCCAGGAGTCGTACGTTTGGCCGGTATTGTACACACACGTTTAGTGTGGTGGCGAAAACTGTAGCTCATTGGTCGGAAATTCCTAAATCAAAAAAGCAGGCAGTAAGCAGTTTGACCTGTTTTATTAATTTGAGATTTGACTTCCCTAAATGCCGACTCCAATTCCGTCCAAATGTGAATGGAGAATGCAATAAAAAATAAGTCCCTGTTTGGTCTCAAATTTATTAAAATTTACCCAAAATTAATTTTTTAGCTAAATCGAATGGGGTTAAATTATCCTCCTTTAAGTTATAACACCTCTAACTAAAAATCAGACTTCGAGCTTGTTTCAATGGAGAATACGAACAATAATAATTAATCAATTCCAGCTTATAAATCATGTTTCAACGAGAAGACGCGTACGCTAAAAGTAAAACTTGGAGCATGTATCAATGGAGTCACGTTATTCAACTTATAAGGCAGCTACTTCGATCATTCAAATTAGCTACCATGAAGCCAACTTTGACGGTTGAACGTGCCAAAGAAAAACTAAACGAGTGTTGGAATTTTGTTTCTTAACAGATAGTGCTGGAAATGTGACTTTTAGTGGCTGGCTATCTCCATTCATGCACGCCTTTTTTTTTTTTTTTTCTCAATATCAAGTTTATTTAATTTTTTATAAACAGCATTCTCTTCATGTTATTTATTACTTCGATAAAGACACATGCAATTTTTTAATAAATGAGTATTGGCTAAGCCCCTGTTTGACACTCATTTTAGTTGAAAAATCATTTTTGGAATAGTGATTGATGGAAGATTGTGTGGTTAAAAAGTAAGGAGAATTTTTGGGTTTATGTGTAATATTATTTTATTAATAGAATGTGTGGTTGAAATGAAGAAAGAGAAATAGAATGAGAAAAAAATGGGTGTCAAACAGGGGTTAAACTAGATTTNTGAGAAAAAAATGGGTTTCAAACAGGGGCTTAAATGTGAATACATGATGTTTACATATTTTCATAACAATTATGCTATAAGTACAGATAAATTTGACAGAAAATGTTTACAGACAACAATTGACGTGCATTCATTGGAAGATGGAAACAATAAATACAAAATAGGCAAATCACATTTCGCCATGTCATCGTTGGTGAAGAGTGTCAAAAACTTGGGACTTTTTTGCTTTCCATAATAGAAATTGAATGCCCCATGCCTCCAATAAGCCTTAAGAGTTTGTGAGACGATCATATATCTATGAATTTAGCTAAATGAACATAATGTTTGACATAGAGATTGTCCGATCACTCACATTGCATGTAGATCCCGACCTGTATTAAATAATGCCGACCTCCCCATGTGTGTGTATTGTGTCATCCCCTATGTCAAGTATTATGTTTGTGTAGCAAAACTCTATATCTATATGTGGTGACATTAATTATGATACTTTGGATGTTGAGTAAGAGAAACATTCCGGGCGAATGGGCTATTGGGCGTCTAAGATATTGTGATTTGAATAGTCCAATTTTGAAAGTCTCGTGACATGAATGCACGATTCCGCACCAGTAAACTATTTATCTTGAAAATCAAAAGTTATATATACCCATGTCGCATACCAAGAGATTATTAATTCTTCTCTCATCTGCAATATTGATTTGTCAAAAAGCTTAAATAATAATGGCTTCATCTTCTTTAGCTTTCTCTTCTGCACAATTACACATTTCCTTGCAGAGATCACAAAAACCTGCTTCAAAACCATTAAAACCAGCACCCTTTTTCCAACCAATCAAAGCCTCTGTCTCCAAAACGCCATCCATTTCTACACCACCACCTCCGGCGTCGTCAACGGTTTTGCCACCACAACCTACGAAGCTTCCGATCAGAAAAATTCCGGGGGACTATGGACTCCCTTTGATCGGACCATGGAAAGACAGACAAGACTACTTTTACAACCAATGCAGGGATGAATACTTCAAGTCCAGAATCCAAAAATACCAGTCTACAGTCTTTAGAACCAATATGCCACCCGGCCCTTTGATTACCTTTAACTCGAAAGTCATAGCTTTGCTCGACGGCAAGAGTTTTCCTGTCCTTTTCGACACTGATAAAGTCGAAAAGAAGGACGTCTTCACCGGTACATACATGCCGTCGACTGAACTCACCGGTGGTTATAGAATACTCTCCTATTTGGATCCATCGGAACCGAACCACGCCAAACTGAAGAAGATCATGTTCTTTTTACTGTCTCTTAGGCGTGATCAGGTGATCCCGGAGTTTCACAGCAGCTATACAGAGCTGTTTGACAATTTAGAAAGAGAATTAGCCACTAAAGGGAAAGCAAGCTTTGGAGAGGCTAATGATCAAGCTGCATTTACATTCTTGGCTCGATCTTTATACGGTGCTAACCCAGTAGACACCAAACTTGGGTCCGACGGACCTAAGATTGTCAGCAAATGGGTGCTGTTTCAACTGCACCCACTGCTAATTCTTGGTCTACCAAGGGTTATTGAAGATGGCACTTTACACTCAATTTCTCTTCCACCATTCTTGATAAGGAAAGATTATAAAAGATTATATGATTTCTTTTACCAGAACTCAACTCCAGTTCTTGATGAAGCTGAAAAACTTGGTCTATCACGAGAAGAGGCTTGCCACAATCTCATCTTCGCCACTTGCTTCAATTCATTCGGTGGTATGAAAATTTTCTTCCCCAATATGCTTAAATGGGTTGGTCGAGCCGGAGTCAAGCTCCATACAGAGCTGGCACAAGAAATCCGGTCGGCCGTCAAATCAACCGGCGGCAAAGTCACCATGGCTTCCATGGAACGCATGCCTTTGATGAAATCAGTAGTCTACGAATCCCTAAGAATCGAGCCTCCGGTGCCTCTCCAGTACGCCAGAGCCAAACACGACTTCGTGATTGAATCCCACGATGCAGCGTTTCAAATTAAGGAGGGAGAATTGCTCTTCGGGTTCCAACCATTTGCGACCAAGGATCCTAAGATTTTCGACCGGGCCGATGAGTTTGTTCCGGAACGGTTCATCGGGGAGGAAAGTGAAAAACTGTTGAAACACGTCCTCTGGTCTAACGGACCGGAAACAGAGAGTCCCTCCATTAATAACAAACAGTGTGCCGGAAAAGACTTCGTAGTGCTGATTTCGAGGCTGATGCTGGTGGAGTTGTTTCTCCGTTACGACTCCATTGAAATTGAAGTCGGTGCATCGCCGTTAGGTGCCAAAGTTACTGTAACATCGTTGAAGAAAGCCAGTTTCTAGACTACAGTGTATTTTATTATGCTTACCGGTGAGGAATTAAAACTTGCATTTGTAGGTTAGTGGAGATGGGGTCCCACTTCTTCTTCTTCATCTTCTTCCCTTTTTTTTTCTTCCCTATTTTGTGGACTACCCAATTATCATGAGGGGTTTGATATGTGAAATTAGTTTATTGTACGTGTAGTCTTAGGTCACGTTGTAATTGTTGAAGAATGTGCCCAATATTAGATATTCATGAAAACTTAGTTTTAAATTAGTTTTAGTGAAAGTTAATAATTAATTTTAATTATATATTTCACAGCATTCATTATTTTTCAACAACATATTTAATTAACTTTTATTGAAATTTATTAAAAAAATCTGATTTTAATCCACAATCTAACAGGAGCTAAACGTGCAATATTATGGCAAAACAAGTATTATTTAGGACAGACTCAATAGACGACGGAGAATACATGGCAATTGGATGGTTAGAACGCTTTACCATACAATTCGGAAGGCCATGCCAGTTGACTGTCTCTACCCACACGAGCTGCTGTACAAAAATTGGAGCTATTTTTTGACACTTTCTTTTAAAGGCTCAAATTTTTATCACATTAATGATTAGTTGGTTCAAATTTTCAAATTTTGTTTCAAAACAAGACAACGTTCCCTATATGTATCTAAGGTACGACTTTTTTAGTCCATTACCGTGTTGGATAAATTGACAGTGCTCCCATGAATTCATTGTCCGTGATTGTAAGAATATTGTCAATTAACAGTATGGCTGGGAGACCCCGTGTCTAGTGTAATTTCCAAGTGCTGAACACAGTGACTAAAGTCGAGGAATGAAGTTAAAGACAGAGGGAGGGATAATAATCAAGAGGACTCAACCATAAGAGGCAGAGCTTTCAAGAACAGGGAGAAATCATTATCGAAATCTAAGGGTAGACTTAAGTATTTCAAGAATGGTTTTGAAAAAAATCAAGAAGATAAATGGAGACAAGGAACTTCTGGGCACTGCAACAAGACAAAACGAGGCAGATATGTTCCAAAACTATGGAGAAATAATCTCATTGTGAATGTTGGATAACCATATTTCTCATTCAGCACTCGTTAAGAATCCCTCTCCAACTCTAGACGTTTCGACCACGTGGCTGACAAAAATCATTGTTCACAGCAGATAGAGTTAAATTATCTCACATCAGATAATGTGCACTATCCCAATAATAATAATAATAATAATTAACATTGATTATTTACCCAAACATGACTTTGAAAAGGAGAAGCACAGCTTATTAAAACCCCGAAATCAAAATCAATCAATCCATCCCCAATTTTTATCAACACAAGCCCTATTCAATGGAAATGATAAGTCCACTAGAAAGCTACCAGCAATTATTGGACATCTCAGATATACAATGGTTGTAACATAAACTTAAAAATTTTAAATTTCAGATTGATACATTTTAAATTTTCAATTTTAGTTTTTAATTTTCAGATTTAGTACTGTTAGGACTTATGTTGTATTGGCAATTCTTTAGATAAAAAGATTGTTATAAAAGAGTTGTAAAAGTCAAGAAATCTTTTGAGGGTTGTATAGATGAATTAGGAGTTTTTGAGTTCGAGTATGGAATAAGGAGAAAAGATCGTCGAATTTACGCTAGCATGTCGCCTAACTGATGCTTGAGTAAAAAAAAGTAGAATCATTATTGCCCACCTGTCTCTCGCCTATCAGTCGAGTGATACACCTGTCGCTAGCTTGACGCTTAAACGACAATGTTTTTCGAGAAACCCTAGGTCGCAGTTTTCAAGAATTCTATATATCTCATACTACCCAAATGCCTCATATTATAAATACCTAATACCCATTACGTTTTTGGTGGTGGTTGATCATTATTATACGTCCTTATATCATCATTCCAATATCCAAAAATATATCCTAGTATTGAGATTAAACCTTGAGATCAATCAACCACAAGTTGCGAAAAACATCAAATACAAATAATCCAAAACGCTCACTTTCTAAATATACACAGGAATGTACTATCTCAATAGTTTTCAGAAGTTGTTAGATTGAGGCAAGTTAGAATACAAACATAGAAAGAGTACAAGAATAAGGCGTTCTTGGTGATCCACTAGAGATTGACAATTCCAAAAGATCGGGAGTAGGTGTGAGTGAAGCACGTTACAACGGATCTTATAGATTGCAAGATTTAGATCAATGAGTCTAGTGGATTTTTTAGGTTGGGTCATTCTGTAAGTTCTTATTGTTTATAGTGGAAACTACTAGTTTGGTCCCAAACTTTTTACCTAATTAAGGGTTTTTTTCCGTCAACAAATTTTGTGTTGTCTACCTTATTGATTTCATGCAAGCTCGCAATTCAACATATGATACTTAATTCATGTGAACTGGATCTAAATTAGTTATTCATTGTGACTTGTTTCAATATTAATTGACAATAATTTCAGTTCCGCATTATTCACCTATTATGTGATTTTAGGGTAGAACTAATAATTTTCAAATACAAAATAAAAAATCTTAACATTAAAATGTAAGTTATATTTGACTGGTTTAACGTGGGGGTTGAAACCTTACGTATAAAAGGAGAATTATTCTATTGTTGGAAATGATTTGAGATAGAACTTGAATACATATAAAATACCCTATATACATTTTTATTATACTATTTTGACAATTCGATAAATGCTCGTTCTTTATCTTTCTGTATTTGTGTCCATAGATGGAGAACTGACGGTGAGCCACATGAGTTTTATCTTAGAGCGTAGTGCATAAAGTACCCACACAAAGGGAAGGCAATACGACTTTAGGACAACGTCCTTAACGTGATTCCCTAAGGCTTGCATTTCTAACCCTATCTACTTATATTTTATGTTCATGTTATTATTGAATTCTTATGTTTATGATTATAGTTGAATTATATTTATTAATGTTATGTTTATATTATTTAATTGATAAATATCTACACACAAATCACCCATTTTTCCCAACAACAATTTTATATGATTGTAATAGTAACAAATTTTCATTGTTATAAATAGATTGACGAAAATTTCCATTAAATTCTAATCAATTAATGACGAAAAATATGTCCCTAACATTTCTTTACAAAATCGTAATCCATACTTATATCACTCAAAGACGGATTTGTGAAGCATCAATTTACACATCCCTATATTCCCTTTTTCTTGTCTAATCATGAAATGCTAATATAATTTTAAAAAGTAGTAAAAAAAGGTGAAATTCCATTTTCGGAAAATTGTAAAAGATTATAGTTAAGAGGCCTAATGATAAGATTAATTATTTTTGCTATGCATCTTTATGTATAAGCTTTGCAATAGTAATTCAAGTGGAAATTTGAAATAAAAAAGATCTTCAAAACCAATTTTGTAATAGATTATAGCATGTTTATGACTTATTTTTTAATGTGAAAACTTTTAAATAAAATTAATAATTAATTTTAACCACAAATTTCATGAGATCCACTATTTTTATTAACTTTATAACAACATACTCTATCTACTTTTATCGAAATTTACTAAAAATTTGATTTTTAGCTACATCAAATAGGGCTAAGCCAATATAGCCACACATTTGGAGCCTTCAAGATAAACCCCCAAACATGCTCACATCCCCCTACCTTATGAGAGTGCAAAGCACGGAGACGCGAAAAAAATTCATGAAAGGTATGATGGACACATACTCTTCCAAAGTTGACAATATACGTATGAGTTAACTTCTTGGCAAAGACTGGGATCGTAACAATCAAACTAGTACATGAAAACATTTAACTACACGTCTATAACATGGATGTATAGGGCTTCAAATGATAATTCCATAAACTAAGTTGTACATTCCCATTGCAAACTTTTAAATACTGAACAGAAATAACTCACAAGATATATATAACACACAGACACATATGATGTGTATATACGTAATTGGTATTGAATGTGGATCTAAAGTGCAGCAAAAGCATCATCGGCCCATTTAATTTGAGGGTTTGAAGTCTTATTGGTGTTTGAAGCAAAGGGACACCTGAAAAGACCTTGAACGGCGGACTTAACCTTGTTGACACGCTTGCGGTGGCGAATGCGGCGGAGAACAACATTCTTGTCAAGTGTATCACTTGTGTGACACGGCTTCAGGTACAAATGAGTGGTGATGCTAAGGTTTTCATTTTCTTCTTGCTCCGTCTCATCTTCTTTCTTGTCTTTGGTTTCTGAAATATCAGATAGATCTTTTCTTGAAACTGAAGGATACATATTGTGGTTGAATGAAAATGGAAGTTTAGGATAAGGGTTCTTCTGTAGGCGGGCATCCATAATTATTATATTAGTTTCGGACATTTTGGTCGGTTGTTAGATTCTCTTGAGTTAGTGTTGTGAATTCCCATGCAGTCTTTGGAACATTATCTTACTGTTAATGTATATAATCATGTTTTGATCACTCTCAATAAATGAGATAAAAATTTCTCACTCCTGATCCTGATGTGACGGGTAAATCTTAATTATGATTAACACGAGATTAGGACTGAAAATCATGTTTTACAAGGATGGATTCAAGATCGGATTACATGTCGGACTAATATGTACTAAAAAAAATCGGTGGGTGAGGACTGGACAAGGCTACCGTCCGCCCCTGATGTTTCCATAGCAAGTTATTTTGATCTTATCTTGTTTTAGTGCAGAGGGAATCTTGTCCCATCGAGACATGTACTAGTTTATTGAGGGGAAATTAGGTCCTCAACCTTTCTGATTTAGTACACCTTGGTACTCATTCAAATAATATTCTTGATTTTCTGTTCTCCAAACAGTTAGTCCCGTTTGGTGGGAATTAAAATAAGATTTTCAGTAGATTTAGATAAGAGTTAATAAAATATGTGATTGAAAAGTTGTGAATTCTACGTTATTAAAATTAATTGTTAACTTTAATTTAGATTAAATTTTGAATTTGAATTTGAATTTGAATTTCTACTAAACAAGGGATTAATTTAGTTGCATGTTGATTGCTATTAAATGACAAGGAATAAGGCCCCGTTTGACACCCATTATTTTGAAGAATGAGTTTTTGAATAGTGATTGATGTAAAGAATGTGTGGTTAAAAGTAAGAAGAATTTTTGGGTTTATGTGTAATATTATTTTATTTGGAGAATGTGTGGTTAGAAATGAGTACTGTAGAAAAATGAGAATGAGAATAAGGTAAAAAAATGGGTGTCAAACGGGGGCTAAGTTAAATAAGCAATTGAAAGGTAAAAAAGGACCATATGGACTCACTTGTGGAACTTGTTGGATAAATTAAATAATCCACATTTTTTAAGTTGCTTCAGGGACATATGCTTTTTTGATCGCTTTGAGTGTCTCTTTAAAGCTTGAATGCGATTTCTAGAACCGCTACTTTTAGGAACAAAATTATCGAGAAGGATGAAATTGTCAATTTTCATGCTTTTGGATCCCTGCATGTACTTCTGAGCTGAATCACCATGTTGAAAAAGTTGATGTAAAATACGATCAACTGCAGTTTTTCCATCCGAGTTCTGCATTGTTAAGCAAATTGAGAAAAGATAGCTATAAATGAATTTCAGGGAAATAATCACATAATAGACAGCTCAAATGGCTACATAGATTAAGGTGAAAGAGTGACCTTCACACCCGTTGGCAGCAAATTTTCATGTACAAGATAAGAAAGCTCCAAGTATGCTGGCTCATTTACTTCTACATCTGTAAATTATGGTAGCGAACTATTTTAGCCCTAAGATAATGTTTCGAGATACACCTAAAGATAAAATATCTCTGCACAAACAGAAATAGCAATCATCTAACAACAACAATGGTACCTTGTGCAGTGTTATGACCCCTGAAAGAAATATTGCCTGGAAAAGTAATCAAGAAGGAGAACAATTAAATGTGCAGAAGATATTAGCGAGCCTAACTAGCAATTATCACCCAAAAAAGAATTTGGAAGCCCAGTAGCATCATTTAAGCAAGGTATAGCGTGTCCTAACTTAAAGTCGAAGAACAAGTAGGTGTGTACACAAAAATACTAAGCTAGCGATGAAGCAAAAATTAAAACGGCCATTATGAAAATGTGAGGTCTAATGCTCCATCTTTCAAACTTCCATTGATCTAATTTACAGGCATTTTAAAGCCTGGACTTTTCCAATCTCATATCCACTGAATCACGGAAGGTATAGTGCACCGTGAAAGCTCCATTTTTGTGATCCTTTCTAGGAGTTAAAAAATTGTCCCTCCCACACACCACAGAATGGTAACAAAGTGAATCGATCTGATAAAGTTTGGAAGATCTTCACTTTTTTAATTCGTTCAGTATTTTATGGACACTGGATATATTTCTTCCTGAACAGAATATAATATCTAACACAAAGAAAAATTTTCGTACAACTACTTTGGGTCTCAAATGAAAACCACAAAAGACTTCAGGCTGATTCAATTTCATAACATAAACTTACTTAATGTGCAGTTGAGAATGACATTAGAGACACGTGACTCAAACTATGAGGAACTCTTGAGATCATCTTTTCTGTTGCTTCTAATTGGTTTCGAATTTAAGATAACCAACACGGTAACGCCTAACTAGAGCTGGTATTAGTTTTATTTCTAAAGATGAATGTTTTAAACTTTCAAATTTCATCTTGTTCAAAATTTAGCCAATCTTGTAGAATATACAAATATGGTGTGTTCAATGATATATGTTACACATGTTAAACATTTTAAAGTACTTCATTTGACTGGAAAGAAAAAAGCATTGTTGGGAAGTGCGTACATTTTAATAGGACATCGTCACTTTTTATCACTGTGGGCGCTTTTAATTTTCACTATTTATCATCTCTGGAGTCAACACAATAATGCACACAAAAATTCCAACACCGTTGAAACCGAAAAAAATTTAACAGCATTATTTACGATTTATAACACACACAAGCAAACCTTTTCTGGACGAGGCACTGGAATAGGGTTTTTTAACTGCCGTATCTGAAGATAAAGATTCAATATTAGAACTGGCCTTCCCTGTATCTTCAATTTGCTTTTTCTTGCTCTTATGTTGCTTTTTATGAAGCTCTGCCTCTGCTTGTGCAAACCTTCGCTCTAGTGCTTCCAATGTTCGTTTTTGCTGGTCATCCATGATTTCTATACTCACTATCCAGTGTCAATATCATAGAATAAGTAGTGCTGTGCTAGAAACAACAAAGAAGCACATCAGAATATATACAATACGGTAGGATATTGTATTACTTATTAATCTTACACATGCAGAGAGAGCAGGAGGATTGGAAATTGGATAGCATTTGAGTTTTATATATAGGACTCGATTTTATTTTATTTTTCAACAATACCCAAAGTTTAAATCAAACTATGATAATCAAATTTCAACATTTGAGA